AAGCTCCCAAACATGTCCTTTGCTAGTTGCACAGACATAACCTGAAATATGTTTGATTTTCTTTGTTAGCTAGCTGTAGGAATTTGAAGAATTTACTAAAGTCATAAGAACAGAAGAATGTGTGTTTGAAAGAGAAACTTTTTAATTTCAAAGAGCTGCAGCTTCATGTATACTTCCCTCTCTTATTCCATGTAATTAGTAAGGGAAAATAAACTGTGTCTTAGAATGTTAGGAAAATATTTTGCTAGCTTTTAAATAATTCTTGAAGTATTCTTGACTCTTTCTGTAGTTTCTGTAGAAATTACAGAAATGTATACGGATGAGAAAGGACCATTTGCCCGTAATTGAGAACACGAACTTGTGTTGGGTGTCTGTCGTGCTTGCTGGCGGTTAAGTCTCCGTGGTATTGACTGGTAGGCATTTTCTATATTTTTTGCAAGTTGGCTGGTAAAACTTTCTAAGGTTTTGTATTTTTCAGAAGTAATCTTATTATTGTTTCCATTTTAAACATATCTCAATATTGTCTCATTGTAATAGTTCCATGTATGTGACATCTAAGGAATTAAGTCACTTCCAAATGGTTTGGTGTAATGCATACAGTTTAAGAAAGTTTGTTCTTTTTTATTTTATTTTTTAAATTTCTTATAGAAACAGGGTTTCACTCTGTTGCCCAGGCTGGTCTCAAACTCCTGGCCTCAGACCCAGCCGGAACTATAGGTGCTTGAGCCAGCAACCACTGATAGAAAGTATGTTCTTTTTCAGTTCTGTCATTGAAATTATCTAAGTGATTGGATTTTTAAACTCCTTCTCTTTCTCATGAAATTAATCATCTAATAAATAAAACTACATTATATAATTAGTCAGAAATGTCTGTTGCCCTCTTTTTTTTTTTCTTTTTTTTTGAGATGGAGTCTTGCGCTGTTGCCCAGGCTGGAGTGCAGTGATGCGATCTTGTCCCACCGCATCCTCTGCCTCCGGGGTCCAAGCAATTCTGCCACAGCCTCCTGAGTAGCTGGGATTACAGGCATGTGCCGCCACGCCTGGCTAATTTTTGTATTTTTAGTAGAAGCGGGATTTCACCATGTTAGCCAGGATGGTCTCAATCTCTTGATCTCAGGATCCACCTTCCTCAGCCTCCAAAAGTGCTGAGATTATCAGCATGAGCCACCTTGCCTGGCCTCTTTTTTTTTTTTTTTTTTTTTTTTAAGATTAAAACTAATCTTTTAAAGTCCCTACTCAACTGAAATTTGGCCTGATTATAAATGTTGATATTAATTTCTTCCTGGCTCAACAAAGTTGTTGAGCTTCCTTCCCTGCATACATTGAAAGAAACCCAGAAATTATACATTCGTGGTTTGAATTGGAGAAGGAGTAGGTGGAAGAGGATGGCCTCACACAGAGTCCGGGGGACATACTGCCTTAAGATGAAGTGAACAATTACACACCGAGTAGGGTCCACGGAAATAAACGGCCGTTTCAAATTATTCACATCCCAAATGTAGATTCGTCTGTTTTCTAGTTGGTGAATTATATTTATTAGGATCTTATTTTAGCATTTCAGTACAAATAGTAGGTTTGGTTACCTTATTTTTATTGTTTTTACTCATTAGTTATGAATAAGCCATACCTTAGAACCTTGGGTTAAATTTTTTCAAGTCATACCAGTGAACTTGGTTTAAATACAACTATAGTAACTTGCTTTATCATGTTTCCTGTTTAATTGGATGAGAATTACATGCTCTTATTCACTTGTTCTTTGTGTTTATAGGAAAAACTATGTTCTCAGCTACCTCATTATGTAGTGTTGTGCTTGATCCCTTGCCAATTTAGAAGAATTCAACACATTCTGTTCTTTAACAAAAGCTTGGAAGCAGGCAGTCAGCGGCCTTGAGAAATACAATTCTCTAAGGCCTGTTTTCCATTTTACTACTTTAAAAAAAAAAAAAGGCACTTACAACCAGGAGGAATAATAATTCTCCTAGAGTTGCTGCAAAGTGATTACTTGAAACTCAACTTGAACTTTAAAGAGTCTTTAAAAGGCTGTGTTTTCCTAATGCAGAAAAGTAGTCTATTTAACCGTCGCTGCTGTGTAAAACAGAGGGCTTGATTTCCATTCTTGTTGGCATCAGACAAGAAAATGTGTCCCTCTGTCATCTGACCCAGTGTTTGGGATTTGGGTGCTTAAGGCTACTATTTTTTTTCATTTTCTATAAGGTGCTATTGTTTCCCAAAAATCTTTAATTTTGATGAAACTCTATACTCACTGCTAAGCTCCTTCTCACTCAAAGTGTTTCCTAAGTGCAGAGCTGAGGTTGGCAGAACTACATAGAGTTGGATGATACTTAGAATCATGAATGATGTGATTTGTTCCCTGTGCCAGTGGAGCATCCCTCGGCTTCCTGTGGTACGCGCCCTCTGCACCCCACACGTGGTGGCCCCCATCCTCCCTAGTGTCTGTCAGCTTGCCTGGTCACCCCATCGGGAGGAAGGAGTTGAGGAGGCTCACCAGTTATATGCAAGACCCTTCCTCCGGGGAGATCTTGTAATAATGGCCCAGTTTCAGGCCACAGTCATACACAGCCTACTTAAATGGAGGACTTCAGTGATGCCGTGGCCAAAAGAGTTATGCCCATTTCTAAAAGCCTTGCATACGTCAAATAACTTAAGCACCAGGTTTTACCTGGTACTTAATTTATACCAAGTATAACCAAGTTTAACTGTTCTTACGCATTAGTAGGATTTAATTTTTATGCTTGTGCTTTTCAGAGTAAAGGGCTTGCTCTTAACAGTAGAATGGCAAATCTTCTCTTCCAGTGACAATCTGTTAGCACCCTGTTGGCTTAGCTCAGGACGTGAGACATTTCCTGGAAGTGGTTTCCATGAGAACCAAGGCTTCCTCCTTTAACTTAAACCCCAGATTTTCTTGTTTGAATTATTATCAGGCAATCATCTTTATCCACTTCCTTATAAACCCAGTGGTTGGGAACATAGGCCTTGGTGTCAGGCGCATCTGGGGCTGGGGGCTTCTGCCACAATTATGCTCTGTGACTTGGGAATCTCTTTAACCCCGAGGCTCAGTTTCCTACGTGGAATAAGCATAGCAGGAGGATTTATCCTCTGAGAGTTGTGGTGAGGACTAACTGGGTGATGACTATAAGCACTTGGGATAGTGGCTTGCTCGCAGTGATCACTGTTGCCGCCACCCTGATTATGTCCACTCTCAACACAGAGTACGGGAGACCCTGTGTGGGAGGCCGAGGCTGCCTGCGCAGAATGTCCCGGGCCTTATAGCTTTCCCCATTCTCACGTCTGCTGCCACGTGATATACAAGTAAATGTATTACATGTTTGTGTTCATAAAATCCTTTCTTCTTTTTTTGAGATGGAGTCTCACTCTGTTACCCAGGCTGGAGTGCGGTGGAGTGCAATCTCCCAGGCTCAAGGGATTCTCCTGCCTCAGCTTCCAAGTAGCTGGGGCTACAGGTGCACACCACTATGCCCAGCTAGTTTTTTGTATTTTTAGTACAGTTGGGGTTCCACCATGTTGCCCGGGCTGGTCTTGAACTGCTGAGCTCAGGCAGTCTGCCTGCCTCAGCCTCCCAAAGTGCTAGGATTACAGGTGTGAGCCACCACATCCAGCCATAAAATGATTTACCTTCTAGACCCATGCCACCTCTCTCCTTCTACGTGTCTGATATTTAAATTCCAAACAATTGTAGATAGCTGAAACAGCCCAAAATATGTACATGTAGTTTGTTAGAAATAACCCTCTGTTTAGAATTTTCACAGTGAAGATCTCTAATAATACTTAAAACTCTCTGTCAAAGTTGAATTTTTTTTTTCTTTAAAATAGGAAAGGTAATAGTCTATATTGGTCAAAGAAACTAGATATTTCCTAGATCTCTGTTTTAGATCATAGACCTATACTATGCTTTCCTAACTTGGATGTTAAATGAAACTTAAAAACAAATATGTGTTACAAGTACTTGTGTGTACGTACATGTGTGTTTGTGCATGTGTCTGTGTGTGTGGAGCTTTTGTACCCTTGCATAAAGAAGCTTATTTAACACAGTGGTACAGAAAGTGAACTACTGAATCCTTCCTATCATACACCTCTTTTCCTGGTGAGGTTATGGGACTGGCAGAGGAAGGAGTATGTGATGTGCTCAGCTTGTCTTGATTTCGATAAGATGTTTGATAAAGTCATTCTTGACCTCTGAATATGAGCCGGAAGTAGAGCTAGGATTTAACGAAGAACTGAGACTAGGTTGAATAGCCAGATCCAGGCAGTGTTGGGGAGCTCGGAGCTTGGCAGGATCACTGAAGGTGAGGTGGACCTGCTGGACATTTTTATCAGCAACTCAAATCAAAATAGAGACGGCAGAGAAAGAGTGCTGGGCGGGACGTGTTGGTTTTTAGCTCTGCAGTACTCTTAAGTCTCATGGCTCAATGTAAAGTCTTATGTCTAGGTTCAAGAATGAATGCTGCTATATGAAATTTCAGAAAAAAGTTATGGTGATATTGACCGTTTGAACATAAGCCAACTGTTTCCCCTGCCCTAGGGGAGGTTGGTGGGGCGGCCTTCCCACTCTCCAGGTTGGTAGCCCTGCTGATGGGCCACATCTTCACCGAGAGGTCATGGTTTTGTCTTGTCCTCCTTCCTGGTGAAAGTCCACTGCAGTTTTACTCTCGGCTCCGGAGGGAGAGGGAGTAAAAGCCTCTCCCTGTGTGTCCTGACCCCTCCTACCTTGTAAAAGATCTGCTCAGACTGGGCAAGGTGGCTCACACCTGTAATCCCAGCACTTTGGGAGGCAAAGGCTGGTAGATCACTTGCGGTCAGGAGTTTGAGACCAGCCTGGCCAACATGGTAAAACCCTGTCTCTACTAAAAATAAAAAAATTAGCCGAGTGTGCTGGTGGGCCCCTGTCATCCCAGCTACTTAGTAGGCTGAGGCAGGAGAATCATTTGACCCCGGAAGGCAGAAGTTGCAGGGAGCTGTGATTGTGCTACTGCACTCCAGCCTGGACAACAGACGGGGACTCCGTCTCAAAAAACAATAACAAAAAAAAATTAAAAAAAAAAAAATCTCAGAAATAGGGGAAACAGGAGATCATGATCCTAAGAGATTGATAGCCTGGGGTGCACGCCGAGTCTTCAGAGCTAGCCGTCTGTGTCTTCCCATTTCCTTCACTTGTTAATAAGCTTTTGTTTGAACCAACATTGGTTTTTCTCTCCGTGTTCCACCGTAGCTCCCCAAGGACACTGCTAGGTGGAATCTCTGAGAAAACAGGCACTTCGCAGTCGGCCCACCTTTCTCTGCTGGCTTTGGGGTTGTCGTCAAGGTGGAGGAAGGGTATTTTGGCCATGATTTGGAGTCGTTTTTACTCACTCTTCTTAGGATAGCTTTCCCGCCCTATCCTCTGCTCTTCTTTCCCACCCCTCTTCCAGCCCGGTTTTTTAACTACTTGAATTATGTATCCAAAATAAAAAATGAAAAGAGTTGGAGTGAGTTGGGGAGGGCAGAAAGAGTAGCTCTTCTGGTTCCTCAGACCACGTGATGCCCAGGGCGTGAGCCTCGGGGATCGCTGAGCAGACCTTCCTACTGGCACTTTCCACAGCCAGCTGGGCCTGCCTGTGAGTCAGATCTGTACCCAGGTTCCAGGTCAGAATGGCCCCTTGCCTGCTGAGGCACCCCCAAGGACACATCCCAGCCCTTTAGGCACCTGTAGGCTAGAATGACACCTTCCAGGCCAACCCCAGAGGCCCTCAGTGTTCTCCTCCAAGCCAGGAGAGGAGGCCGGCACAGGCCACGTGCACTACCTCAGCACCCAGCGCAGCCCGCGCTCCCCGACGTGCTCAGCCTCTTGTGACAGGTGCTCTGCCGTGTCTGTCCATCATCCGCAGAGCTGGATGGGGAGTCTCTGTGTGGGTTCTACTCTGTCCCCTTCCAGCTTGAATTCTCCAGAGCAGAGCGCAGCCCTTGTCTCCTCTTCAGCTCTGACTTAAAAACACACTGTGTTCCAAATCATGGACGGGATCGGAAATCAGAAGTGCTTGTTAACGAGACAGACCACCTTTTCATGTGTTTTTCCAAAAGGAATTTGTGCTTCAAAAGAAACTTCAGTAAATTTATTATTAAATTAGCATATGCTCATTAAAGTTGAGTTATGTTTTATAAAAAAAATATATATAGGATCTGGTACATGGGGCGGGCAAAAGGATACCATCAGCTTAAGAAATAAAGAAGTATGGCCGGGCGCGGTGGCTCAAGCCTGTAATCCCAGCACTTTGGGAGGCCGAGGCGGGTGGATCACGAGGTCAAGAGATCGAGACCATCCTGGTCAACATGGTGAAACCCCGTCTCT